TGCTTTGAGATAAGCGGTTTCTTATACCTGGTTTGAGCCATTTGCCTATCTTCAGCAGTTTGTCATGACATTGCAGCGCAGACTTTGAGCATGCAGACACCACAGACTCCAGCATATTTCTTGTCTGCTTTAGTTGCTTTGAATAGCATTACCGCGTTTCTGCTACTTTCTAGCTTTTCTGCTTCGGAAGTCAACTCTTGTGGAAGCATTCTTGCTGCATTTTTCTAGCTGACACCGCCGTCAAGTCACTGCGGCCGAAACAGCTTATCATAGTTCCTTTTTTTGCACTTCTTTCGTTACCTTGATGACAGGCAGCCTATTTTGGAGCTTGTCATTCAGTTCAAATTGTTTGAGTTCAATTTTAGGAGATATAGAAGTGCGCGTAATTATTTTCAGAGCAGCAAAAAAAATCATTCCTAGGAAGTAACACGCTAGCTTTACGATTGGCCTAACGGGACAAATTTTTGGGAGTGACTTTGCTGAAGCAGTTTGTTTCGAAAATTGGTAATGAAACAAGCTTCTGCTGTAGTCCGAAATAAGTTCCATTTGGAACTAGACGTGCTGAGTCAGTTTTCCTGAATTTTTGATTGGTTTGTGCGCAGCATTAGATGCGCTGTGACCTAAAAAAAGATGCGTTGCGACCTGACAGAAACCGAAATCTATGAAACAAAGGCTTGTGTATTGCTCTTTCTCGCATTTTAGTAGGTTTGAATAGTACTTTATTGCTTTGTTCTGGTCTAGTCCGTCTTCATCATTGTAGCTGATGGCGCTGTTCTTTATCCCATTAGTTTGTTTTCTTTACATTTAGATGGGTATTGTCGGTACAGTAACTCTGGACCTTTTGTTTTCTGCATGCGCCTCCTGCGCACGTTCCTGTTTTCCATTGTGCATTTCTTGTTGATTGCTTTTCATATGCCGCATTCCCCACAACTCGAGTCCCTTTCGCAGGTGCGGCGACTGCATGGGTAACCAGCGTACGTACACGTAGTTTCGACCTCGTCGCAAACTGCGGCCTCAAAGAGTATCCATTTACCACATACGCTTTCGTTATGATTTTCCTCATTCTTTTTCCTTTCATCTTTTTTTCTTGTTTTTTGCGACGCGCATGAGATGACTAGGTCTTCGATTACACACCGGGAGGGGAAGCCATGGGGTTTTCAAGTGTGGTACATTGGTGTTACCAGAGTTTCAATTCTCTTATTTTTTGCAGGGAACAAATGATCCGTATGCATTTGTTGAATTTGCCGATCACAACATGGCTGCTCAGGCTTTACAAACAATGAATAGGCGAATGTTGCTGGACAAGGTCGGTTTCCTATAGATTTCTGCCTGGTGTATATGGAAATGTTTTGTAAAACAAGAACTAGAAAAAAAATTCGCTATTATTTAGGAAATGAAGGTGAACTGGGCAGTGGAACCGGGACAGCAACAGCCCAAAGTCGACACAAGCAGTATGTTCTGTATTTCATGTTGACGTAAAAAGTTGAATATGATTTCTCCCCACTCTATTAACCAGCCATTTTTTATTCTAGAACACTTCCATGTATTTGTTGGAGACCTTTCTCCTGAGGTCGATAATAAAGCCTTGAAGGAAGCCTTCGCACCATTTGGAGATGTCAGGTAGGCTTTTAGCATGTTGATGTGCGAGTAGCATTACTTGACCGATTTTTCTCTTCAGCGACGCTAAAGTTATACGTGATGTCACCACCTTGAAATCGAAAGGATACGGTTTCGTCTCATATCCTAAGCGAGAAGTGAGGATCATTTACCGTTTTTCGCCTTATGCGGGTTCTGAATACGTGAAATGTTTCAGGAAGCTGAGCGTGCTATCGAACAAATGAATGGACAATGGCTTGGTCGTCGTACAATTCGTACTAACTGGGCTACACGTAAGCCTGGCCAAGGAGGTGGTGATCAACCGGCGAACAATGAAAAGACCTATGATGACATCTTCAATATGACCACTCCCGACAACACTTCTGTTTACGTGGGAAATGTGGCAGGCGGAGTTTGTGGTGAGTTTTCAATTCAAGAATCGCTTAAAGGCAGTAAAGAAGGAGTTCGTGAAAAATCATGCATTGACTCTCGCTGGGTTGTGACCCAGGGCTTAGTGACCCTGAATTGCGCATGATCCGAGAGC